CTCCTTAAGCCGCTCCTCATAGGGCTTGTTCTCCAGACCCTTGATCATTTTAGTCGCCCTCCTCTGGACACATTCCAGTTTGTCAATATCTCTCTTGAATTGTGGTGCCCAGAATTGGACACAATATTCCAGGTGTGGTCTAACCAAAGCAGAATAGAGCATGGGGAGCATGACTTCCCTAGATCTAGACACTAGGCTCCTCTTGATGCAGGCCAAAATCCCATTGGCTTTTTTTGCCGCCACATGACATTCCTGGCTCATGTTTAACTTGTTGTCCACGAGGACTCCAAGATCTTTTTCACATGTACTGAGGTTGGATGTCTGTAGCCCCTCCCACACCAATGCGGTCATTGATGCTGACAAATCAATATATACATACAATGCAGGTTAGCATATATATACATTAACAATAAATAGTAAAGTTTTGGGTGGTTGCTATTTCCAACCTTCTCTTCTCTAAGGTAAACATACCTTGCTCTCTATGCTGCTCCTCAAAGGGATTCGTCAGGAGTGCTTTGATGGTGTCTTCCTGCCAGGGGGATGGACTGGGTGGCCTTTAGAGGTCCCTTCCAATTCTATGATTCTAGATCAGTGGTTCTCAACCTGGGGGTCGGGACCCCTGGAGAGGTCACGAAGGTATGTCAGAGGGGTCACTAAAGACCACCAGAAAACACAGTATTTTCTGTTGGTCATGGGGGTTCTATGTGGGAAGTTTGGCCAATTCTGTCATTGGTGAGGTTCAGAATGCTCTTTGATTGTAGGTGAAGTACAAATCCCAGCAACTACAACTCTGAAAATGTCAAGGACTATTTTCTCCAAACTCCACTGGTGTTCACATTTGGGCATATTGTGTATTCGTGCCAAGTTTGGTCCAGATCCATCATTGTGTGAGTCCACAGTGCTCTCTGGATGTAGGTGAACTACAACTCCAAAACTCAAGGTCAATACCCACCATACCTTCCAATATTTTCTGTTTATTTATTTATTTATTTGCTTTATTTCTATACCGCATTTTTCAGCCTAAATCGGTGACTCAATGCTGTTGGCCATGGCTGTTCTGTGTGCCAAGTTTGGTTCAATTCCACCGTTGATAAAGTTCAGAATGTACTTTGATTGCAGGTGAATTACAAATCCCAGCAACCAGAACTCCCAAATGACAAAATCAAGCCACCACACACACACACACACCCCAACCCCACCAGTATTCAAATTTGTGCGTATCGGGTGTTTGTGCCAAATTTGGTCCAGTGAATGAAAATACATCCTGCATATGAGATATTTACATTACGATTGATAACAGTAGCAAAATGACAATTATGAAGTAGGAAGGAAAATAATTTTATGGTTGGGGGTCACCACAACATGAGGAATTGTATTAAGGGGTCGCAGCACGAGGAAGGTTGAGAACCCTTGTTGTAGATAATGATAACAAATCCGATTTGGGTCTTCGAGTTGCCATCCAGTGACATCTACAAGTTGTTGGCTTGCTTTGCCAAGGGACAAGTGTCCCTACTTTGGGAGAAAAGGGGGTCCTGGGATTTCCCTTCCAGAATTTCCGATTCTCAAGAAGACCCCAGGAATCGGAGCGTTTCCTTCTAAGACGCAGCAAGTCTTGTGTCTTTTTTCATGCAGCCTCCTGTCATTCCGATCTCTGATAATAATATATATTTCAGCCAAGCCGGTTTTATGTATTGTTTCCTTTTTTCTAAATGTAGAAGAAAAAAAAAGATTAAAAAGGCAAGCAAAAAAAGAATTGGCCAATATATTTAGAGAGACATAGATGTATTGATGGGTCCGGAGTCGGTTGAGGCGGGTGATTTATGGGGCGCCTGGAGGGAGCGACACCGTTGTGCTCCGGATTCAAGTGCCACTCCGTTGGGATCGCCTTGGAAGTTATTGCTCCATATTGAAGCATCGGGACTGATGTGAGGGGGGGACCGCACTCGAGACAGATAGCAGCGGCTCAAGTTGGTCGGGGAGATATTTATTTCATCTCTATTTCTAACGGGAAAGCAGCCCTGGATGTACTTTGCTGCTGGTTTAAGAGCTGGAGGAAACAGATCACCTTCCTGGTCTTTCCTTCAAGAATGGCAGCGTTGGTTGTTATTTTGGGAAGGAATCATAAGGTGTGTCCACACTGTAGAATGAACCCAGTTTGACACCACTTGGCACCATGCCATGGTATAATTATAATTTTACAGATCTTCTGTAAATAAGTTCTGGGGCCTCACCAAACTACAACTCCCAGGATTCAAAAGCACTGGGCCATGGCAGTTAAAGTGGTCTCAAACTGCATTCATTCTATAGTGTGGGTCTCTACTCATAGAACTTGAGTGTTTATTTATTTGTCGTGTCAGAGCAACCAGTCCATTATATTACATTTCTAACAGAACAAAGCAAACAAACAGACAAAATACAAAACTTGTGAGTTTGGTAGTTGGTTAAATGTCCTTTGACCAGTATCTGGCCCCTTGGAGTGCCTCTGGTGTTGCCGCAAGAAGGTCCTCCCTTGTGCATGTGGCAAGGCTTAGGTTGCATCGCAGCAAGTGGTCAGTGGTTTGCTCTTCTCCACACTCGCATGTCGTGGATTCCACTTTGTAGCCCCATTTCTGAAGGTTGGCTCTGCATCTCGTGGTGCCCGAGCACAGTTTGTTCAGCGCCTTCCAAGTGTGCCCAGGAGGGAGTCTCTCATTTGGTATCAACCATTGGTTGAGGTGCTGGGTTTGAGCCTGCCACTTTTGGACTCTCGCTTGCTGAGGTGTTCCAGCGAGTGTCTCTGTAGATCTTAGAAAACTATTTCTTGATTTAAGTTGTTGTCGTGCTGCCTGATACCCAAACGGGATGAGCTGGAGATGTCTCTGCCTTGGTCCTTTCACTATTGGCTGCTACTTCCCAGCGGATGTCAGGTGGTGCAATACCGACTAAGCAGTGTAATTTCTCCAGTGTAATTTTGCCACAGAAGCAACCAGCATGCAAGCAAGCAAGCAAAACAACCTGAGTGTTGAATGAATGTCTCTTGTGAAGTCCCCCCTCTGGGGTGAGAAGGACGAGATACAAACATGCAAAATAAAATAAATAATAACCATTTATTTATTATTTATTTATTTAAAAGTTTTGTATACCGGCCTTCTCACCTCTCTTGAGGGACTCAGACCGGTTTCCAACCATAATATCACATACAATCAATAAAACATCATAATACATATTACAGTAAAACATTAAAGCAGCAATTACAATCAATAACTATAATGGTCAGTCGTCACACTAAAATTGTTGCTCATCATCCTCCATCCATATCTCAGGGTGTTGGCTCACTCGTCGAATGCCTGTCTCCATAACCAAGTCTTCACCTGTTTCCTAAATGTCAGGATAGAAGGGGCGGTTCTGATCTCCAGTGGGAGAGAGTTCCAGAGTCGAGGGGCCACCACCGAGAAGGCCCTGTCCCTCGTCCCCACCAGACACGCTTGCGAGGCCGGTGGGACCGAGAGCAGGGCCTCTCCAGACGATCTTAATAATCTTGATGGTTCATAGGGGAGAATACGTTCAGAGAGGTAAACAGGGCCGGAGTCGTTCAGGGCTTTATAGGTTAACACCAGCACTTAACAATAAGTGTATTATTATAGAACTGGTCTCAGTCTTCCAGGTTTGGCCTGACCAAAGCCAAATATTACATCAGTCATTCATTCATTGCATCTATATCCCGCCTTTTGCCCTGAATGGAATGAGGCTCTGCTTTCCCTTTCCTGCAACCCAAAGTTGGATCCTACAGGTTGAGGATCCCTTATGCCAAATGCTTGGGAGCAGAAATGCTTTGGATTTTCACCAAAATCACTGGAGCTGGGTCCATAGGAGACCTGTGAAAATGAAAAACAACATATCGAGAAATTGGTCAAATTAACTGGAAACTGTCATAGACTCACACTGGAGGACCTAGAGAAGTATTCTCTCTAGAAATATTTAGGTCCTCCGGCATGATGGAGGAAGTTGGCCATAGAGGAAGGAGGAAGTTGGGCATAGACTCACCCTGGAGGACCTGGAGAGTCCTAAAGGGAGTGTTTTAATAAAATCTGCAAATAATTAAATCCCCAAAAATAAATATATATATATATTGCAAAGATACAAATGCAAAGATACAGAATGGGTGACGCCTGGCTCAAGAGCAGTACGTGTGAAAAAGATCTTGGAGTCCTCGTGGACAACAAGTTAAACATGAGCCAACAATGTGATGTGGCGCAAAAAAAGCCAATGGGATTTTGGCCTGCATCAATAGGAGAATAGTGTCTAGATCTAGGGAAGTAATGCTACCCCTCTATTCCGCTTTGGTTAGACCACATCTGGAATATTGTGTCCAGTTCTGGGCACCACAATTCAAGAGAGATATTGACAAGCTGGAATGTGTCCAGAGGAGAGCGACTAAAATGATCAAGGGTCTGGAGAACAAGCCCTATGAGGAGCGGCTTAAGGAGCTGGGCATGTTTAGCCTGAAGAAGAGAAGGCTGAGAGGAGATATGATAGCCATGTATAAATATGTGAGAGGAAGCCACAGGGAGGAGGGAGCAAGCTTGTTTTCTGCTTCCCTGGAGACTAGGACGTGAAACAATGGCTTAAAACTACAAGAAAGGAGATTCCATCTGAACATGAGGAAGAACTTCCTGACTGTGAGAGCCGTTCAGCAGTGGAACTCTCTGCCCCAGAGTGTGGTGGAGGCTCCATCTTTGGAAGCTTTTAAACAGAGGCTGGATGGCCATCTGTCAGGGGTGATTTGAATGCAATATTCCTGCTTCTTGGCAGAATGGGGTTGGACTGGATGGCCCAGGAGGTCTCTTCCAACTCTTTGATTCTATGATTCTAAGTCATAGACCCACATGCATTGTAGATGTTTGGATTCCGTTTTTGTCATTGTGGCTCCTAACTGTTGGTCTGTCCTTCCTTCCTTCCTTCCTTCCTTCCTTCCTTCCTTCCTTCCTTCCTTCCTTCCTTCCTTCCTTCCTTCCCCAGATTTCCAGGAGGATCAGCGCAAGAGAGAGATAGAGGAGCGCCGCAGGTTCCCTTTGGAGCAGAGGCTCAGGGAGCATATCATCGGTCAGGAGAGCGCCATCGCCACCGTTGGGGCTGGTGAGTTTGAGGCTCAGGTTTGGCTAACCAGGTGCTTCAGTGTTCCCTTTGAGAAGCTAAGTAGCATCAACACTAGTCTTGTGTGCATTTTTGTTATGGCTCTTTCTTTCCTTCTTCTGTTTCCCTCATGTACCTTCTCTCCCCCTCTCTCTTCCTCCTTTCTTTCCTTCTTCCATTTCTTTTCATATACCTTCCCCCTCTTCTTTCCTTTCTCTTCTTTGCTTTGTCTTCCCCATTTTCTTTCTTCCCTCCCTCCCTCCCTTCATTCCTTCTTTCTTTTCCTCTTATCTCTTCCATCCTTTCTCTTTCTTTCCTTTTTCTGTTTCCCTCATACTTTCTCTCCCATTCTTTCCTCCTTTCTTTCATTCTTCCCTTTCTTTTCCACATATACCTTCCCCTCTTTTTTCCTCTCTTTTCTTTGTCTTCTCCATTTTCTTTCTTCCCTCCCTTCGTTCATTCCTTCTTTCTTCCCTTCCTTTCTCTTCCTCACCCTTCTTTCTCTTTCTTTTCTTTCCTTCCCCTCATACCTTTTCCCCCTTCCTTTCCCTCTCTCGGTCCCTTTTCCTCCTTTCTTTCCTTCTTCCCTTTCTCTTCCTCCTATACCTTCCCCCTCTTCTTTCCTTTCTTTTCTTTGTCTTCCCCGTTGTCTTTCTTCCCTCCCCTTCCTTTCTCTTCCCTTCCCTTCTTTCTCTTTCTTTTCTTTCCTCCGCTCCCCTCATGCCTGTTTCCCTTCCTTGCTTTCTCTCGCTCTCTTCACCCTTTCCTTCTTCCCTTTCTTTTCCTCATATACCTTACCTCTCTTCTTTCCTTTCTCTTCTTTTCTTTGTCTTCCCCTTTTTTTTTCTTCCATCCCTTCTCGGTGGTACCGCCCCCCCCCCACCCCCCCACCCCCCGCCTGTGGAATACGCTTCCCAGGGAAATTAGATAATCATCATCCCTCCTCAGCTTCAGAAAGAAGGTAAAACCATGGTTGTGGGACCAGGCCTTCGGGCAATCAGGTTAAAGGACAATGGATAATATTTGACTATGGCTTGGTATACTACTAAATGTCCTTTGACCAATAGCTGGCCACTTGGAGTGCATCTGGTGTTGCTGCAAGAAGGTCCTCCATTGTGCATGTGGCAGGGCTCAGGGTGCATTGTAATAGGTGGTCAGTGGTTTGCTCCTCTCCGCACTCGCATGTCGTGGATTCCACTTTGTGGCCCCATTTCTTAAGGTTGGCTCTGCATCTCGTGGTGCCAGAGCGCAGTCTGTTCCACGCCCTCCAAGTCGTCCAGGAAGGAGTCTCTATTTTGCTATCAACCATGGATTGAGGTTCTGAGTTTTTGCCTGCCTGCCACTTTTGGACTCTCGCTTGCTGAGGTGTCCAAATAAGTATAATGAAGTCTCCAATAAGTATAATGAAGACAAAGAGTGCAACTTCTCCTTTAAGGACCATTCTTCTGCTGGCTGGTTTGCAGCCGAAGGCCTATCGAAATAAAGCACTGCACCAGTCAGGTATATAAACAGCTAGCAATAAGCAATAACAACCGTAAAATAGGGCAATAAAATGGAATTCTTTGTCAGGTATTCATTCAGACTCAACTGATAGAAGACAAAGCTCAAGTAGACCATAAACCCAGGGAAATAAAGAAAAGGGAAGGCTTAGTACCTTAAAGGCACCGGATCCTGTCTCATCTTGGAAGCTAAGCAGAGTCAGCACTGGTTAGTATTAAGATGGGCAACTTCCAGTCAACATCAACATATTTCAGAAGAAGGAACTGGCAAAACCACCTCAGAGGATTATTTGCCTGAGAAATGTATGGGGTGGCCATAAATTGTCAAATGGTTTGACGATACATATAGACACAAGATTAGACCTTGGTCCATTTTCCTCAAAGTCTGTAAGTTTGGACCTGTTGTTGTTATAGTTGTTGTTATGTTTATTTATACCCCACTTTTTCTGTCCACAAGGAGAGTCAACAGACGTACAGTAGATGAGGAAAGGGTCTTTGGGGACTGTCACTTCCAGAATCCTCCCCATTTGGGATTTGCAGCCCAAAAGGAAGACCCTTCCCCAACCCCAAAGGTCTGTCAAGGAATCTCATTTGCTGCTAGCTATATTTTAGTGGAAGGAGCTAGGTCTTCCTGGCCTGAGAATGATGTAGGAAATGCCTCCATAAGTTGACAGGTGGGGATATACATTCCCTTGAAATACCCTAAAAGACACTCAAATTCTGTCTTCATCATCCAAACTAAGCAGGGTCAGCCCAGGTTAGGACTTGGATGGGAGACTACCAATGAATACAAGATGATGTAGGCTGTCTTTCAGAGGGAGAAAGTGGCAAAAATGCCTCTGATCATTCCTTGCCCTAAAATAACTCCTTGGAATTCTTGGGGTCACCATAAGTCGAGAGGTGATTTGAAGGCACATAGATATATTATTATTTTCAGCATTTGTATTTTCTCACCCCGAGGGGGACTCAAAGTGGTTCCCTTGAAACACCCTAAAAGGACAAAGTCCTGTCTGATCTTGGAAGCTAAGCAGGGTCAGCTGGAGTTAGGACTTGGATGGGTGACCACCAATGAATCTCAGGTGCTGTATTTCAAAGTGAAGAACTGGCAAAGCCCCCTCGGAGGATTCCTTGCCTAAGAAAACCCTGTACAGTTCCAACAGGCGGCTTCAAGGCATGTGCAGATAATGAAGATGGGTTTTTACTACTTTGAAGGATTCCTCAGAGTTGAGGGACTTAAAACGCTTGTGCGAGGGAACAATATGGCCACCCCGGAGATGGTGCGAGAGATGGATCTCCTCCGTCTGAAGCTGAAGAGAACCCAGAGAGCCTTGGCTGTGCCGGGAGCAGAGAACAAGCAAACAGCCCAACTTCTCAGTCATTCTCAGGGAGCAGCGCACAATAGATATAGGATATTAAAACCCTCCATCTTCCTCCTGTTACTGAAAACGGCCGCTGTGTTTGGGGTGAGACCATTAGGAGCAAAAACGGATGGATGGATTAAAAAGGGCTTTGGGCTTCTTGTTTTCTTCTCAGAGTGGCCAAAGGCCGTGCTGAAAAGTCCCCGGGAGAGAAAGACCGGGGAAACAATCAGAACAGAAGAGGCATTCCGTCCTTGGATTGTGCCGGAGATGGTCCACACGCTTCTCTTGTGCGTTGAACTATTTGCACAAGAACTCTTGAGCAGCACTTCCGTTGTTGTGTACTGCCAGGTAGCCTACTATTTATGTCAACCATCATCGTTTCTTCAGAGGAGTTTGCCGTCGCAGAGAAAGTGTGACTTGCCAAAGGCCATCCGAAAGGTTTCCGTGGCTAGGTTGGGATTCGAGTGTGTCCTGCTCAAGATCACCTGCTGGTTTTGATGGTCAGTAGAAGAATGTGGACCCTGGCCTCCCAGTAGCCAAACTACCAAATTGGACTCAAGAGAAAACATGAATGTGTTGGATGTTTCCTGCAGCAAGAGGCTTTCCAAAAAGTAAATATCCCCTCGTATACAGAAGTGCGTGACCGCATTTCTGTATACGAACCCACACGATGTCTTCGATCATCTGGAGAGGCCCTGCTCGCACACCCACCTGTATCGCAAGCGCGATTGGTGGCGACGAGAGAGAGGGCCTTTTAGGTGGTGGCCCCTCGACTCTGGAACTTCCTAAGGACATCAGGCTTGCCCCAACTCTGACAGTCTTTAAGAGGAGCTTCCCAGAATAATGATCCCATAGCACTTTGTCCTCCAAAGCACTTTATATTGTTTTAGGTCTGCTTGTATGTTTCCACAAACGCCCCATCATTTTTTCGCCCATGTCCAGCATTATTTTTTAAATTTTTAATTACATTTGGCCTACCCATAGATTTTAAAGTGTTTTTTCTTACTGTTAATGCTTATCTTATTGTCTTATTGTTTTGTTGATTTTAATTACTTGTATTGTTGTTGTTATTGCTTGTATTGTTGTATTATGGGCTTGGCCTCATGTAAGCCGCACTGAGTCCCTTGGGGAGATGGTAGCGGGGTATAAATAAAGTTGATTGATTGATTGATTGATTGATTGTAGACATTAATCTGAATTTTCTGTGAGAAGCAAGCCAACGGAGATGGTTCTTCATTTGAATGCTTATTGTTTGAGAAAGCCAATGAAAGATCTTTTTTTCTGCTGTCCTTTGGAGGAAACTGGTCTGGATAATGGCCATTTGTTGGGGTGCTTTTATTGTACTTTATCGCATGGCACAGGGTTGGACTAGATGAGTTATTTCAAACTCTATGAAACTGAGGTTTGATGAATCCAAAGCTGGAGTTAAAATTGCTGCAAAAAACATTAACAGGGTTGCTGTAGGTTTTTCGGGCTGCATGGCCATGTTCTAGAAGCATTCTCTCCTGGCGTTTTGCCTRCTTCTATGGCAAGCATCCTCAGAGGTTATTATYATYATYATTATTATTATTATTATTATTATTATTATTATTATTATTATTATTATTAWCTTTATTTGTACCCCACTAGCATCTCCCGAAGGGCTCGATGCGGCTTACAAAGGCCAAGGCCTCAACACACAACACAACAATACAACACCTAAAACAAATTAAAAACAGTTAAAGCAATATTAACGACRTGCAATAAACAATACATCAAGAAACTATGAAAAACTGGGCCAGGCCAGAGTAGAGGGGTACAGGATTAAAAGTKCTGATGTGATAGGTGGTATGTGAGGATTGTAGGGTAAGTGCAGTGTGCAGTGTGCAGCAATCTTAGTTCTACTAAAGTGCTTCTGGGACTTGTTATTGGAGATTCCWATTCTGGAAAGGCGCATCGGAACAGCCAGGTCTTCAAGTTCTTTCTAAAGACTGCCAATATAGGGGCCTGTCTGAGATATTTTGGGAGGGCGTTCCAGAGTCGGGGGGCCACCACAGAGAAGGCCCTGTCTCGTGTCCCCACCAAGCGCGCCTGCGACGCAGGCGGAATCACGAGCAGGGCCTCTCCAGGTGAACGAAGTGAACGTGTGGGTTCATACACGGAGATGTGGTCACGCAGGTAGGCAGGTCCCAAACTGTTTAGGGCTTTGTAGGTAAGGACCTGCACCTTAAATTGGGCTCGGAAAATAAATGGCAGCCAGTGGGGCTCCTTAAACAGGAGGATGCTTGCCATAGAAGCAGGCGAAATGTCAGGAGAGAATGCTTCTAGAACATGGCCATATAGCCTGAAAAACCTACAACAACCCAGTGATTCCAGCCATGAAAGCCTTCAACAATACAAGAGACATTAACAACTTTACATATGCAGATGATACCACTTTGATGGCCAAAAGTGAGGAAGAGCTGAGGAGTCTTCTAACCAAGGGGAAAGAAGAAAGCACAAAAACTGGGTTGCAGTGAAGCATCCAAAAAATGAAGATGATGGCAACCAAACTGATGGATTACTGGCAAATAGAGGGTGAAAACATGGAGACAGTGACAGATGAGGTCAGGCGCAGAGTGCAGCCAGGGAATCAGAAGACGTTTCCTTCTTGGGAGGAGAGCAATCTGGATCAAAGAGTGAAGAGTAGAGACATCACATTGACAACAAAGGTCCACATAGTCAAAGCAATGATATTCCCCATAGTAACCTATGGATGAGAAAGCTGGACCATAAGGAAGGCTGAGTGAAGGAAGAGATACGCTTTTGAACTGTGGTGCTGGAGGAAAATGCTGAGCGTGCCTTGGACTGTGAGAAGATCCAACCAGTCCATCCTCCAGGAGAGAAAGCCCGGCTGCTCATTGGAGGGAAGGATACTAGAGGCAAAGATGAAGTCCTTTGGCCACATCTTGAGAAGACAGGGAAGCTTAGAGAAGACAATGATGCTGGGGAAAATGGAAGGAAAAAGGAAGAGGGGCCGACCAAGGGCAAGGTGGGTGGATGTCATCCTTGAAGTGACTGGCTTGACCTTGAAGGATTTGGGGTTGGTGACGATCCACAGGGAGCTCTGGCCTGTGCTGGTCCAGGAGGGCAACAAGGGTCAGAAGTGATGGAACCAATAAACAACAACAAAATGAAACTGTTTGCTGTATAAATGTCCCAAAAACCTGGGCTTTAATTTCAGTATGGAGGGAATTGGCGTTCTGCTCTCCACAGATAAAGTTGAAAGCAAACGGCTTGTCTGGATCCTCAGAAGCAGGACTTGACTTGGTTGAGGCTTGGTTCCTCTGTCTTTTCCCACAAAGGGGAATAAAACCAGGAGGAATGAGCATCGAGGCACAAATTTGATCAATTTGCATAATTCTTGCTGATAATATTTATCATGTGTTAAGTGCCAAGACATCCTGAGCCGTGCAAAGGTTTTGCCTCCAGGCAGAAATGATGCAGAAGAGGAGAGTCGGCACTTTGGAGACAGAAGGCGGTGGAGAGCCTCGCCGACCTCTTTGCTCAGCGAAGCCATTTGTACTGGGGGAAAAAACCATGGAAATGGACAGAAGCCTTTGGTCTTGCCAGCATCCTCTTCTGCTTCAAACACAAACAATGGAAATGTGCCTCTGTCCATTCCTTCTGATTCTAAGTGCATTAAAGGGCCTCGTATCAAATCTGCAGGTGTGGGACCATAATAGGAGGGAGAGAGAATCCCCCAGAGGACAGGATCAAAAAACTCAAAAAGTACAACAGCACAACAACAGAGAGTAAACAATCAGGCACATCAAATCGCCTCTCAACAAAAGATTCCCCCAGGCACTTCCAAGCCATTAAATGCTAATCATGGTGGTCAGTTGAAACATTCACACCTAGCTCCAGCAGACAAAAGTCCTTTGTCCTACCCTGGTCATTCCACAGATATATAAACCCGTTTTCCTAGTTCCAACAGACCTCACTACCTATGAGGATGCTTGCCATAGATGCAGGCAAAACTTCAGGGCGAACAAACTGAAATTAAATCCAGACAAGACAGAGGTACTCCTGGTCAGTCGCAAGGCCGAACAGGGTATAGGGTTACAGCCTGTGCTGGACGGGGTCGCACTCCCCTTGAAGGCGCAGGTTCGCAGCTTGGGTGTGACCCTGGAGTCATCTTTGAGCCTGGATCCCCAGGTTTCAGGGGTGAGGGGAGCTTTTGCACAGCTTAGGCTCGTGCGCCAGCTGCGCCCGTATCTTGGGAAGTCTGACTTGGCCACGGTGGTACATGCTCTGGTCACATCCCGCCTTGACTACTGCAACGCTCTCTACGTGGGGCTGCCCTTGAAGACGGCCCGGAAGCTTCAGCTAGTCCAGCGCACGGCAGCCATGTTACTAACGGGAGCGGGACGCAGGGAGCACACAACGCCCTTGTTGTCCCAGCTCCACTGGCTGCCGATCTGCTACCGGGCCCAATTCAAGGTGCTGGTGTTATCCTACAAAGCCCTAAACGGTTCCGGCCCAAAATACCTTTCTGACCGCATCTCGGCCTATGAGCCCACGAGGACCTTGAGATCGTCTGGGGAGGCCCTTCTCTCGATCCCGCCTCCCTCACAGGCACGCTTGGCGGGGACGAGGGATAGGGCCTTCTCGGTGGTGGCCCCCCGGCTATGGAACACCCTCCCTGTGACATCAGACAGGCGCCCTCCCTCATGGCTTTTCGTAAGAGCCTAAAGACCTGGCTATTCGAGAAGGCATTTAATTGAGAGCCACACGAATCTGGCAATGACACTTGGAACGGACTACGGACTATGAGATTGGCTATTGATTCTATGTGTGATGGCGCGGATTTTTTTAGTGTGATTAGATTAATGTGTAATTTGATTGTTGATATATTGTATGTTTTGTAGACTGTTTTTTGTAGACTGTGCACCGCCGCGAGTCGCCCCAGGGCTGAGAGCGGCGGTCAACAAATGAAGTAAATAAATAAATAAATAAATAAATAATATAGCCCGGAAAAACCTACAACAACCCAGGGTAGAGAGCTGATTGGTCAAATCTAACAGGATGAATTTCAACAGGGAGAAATCTACGGGTACTACCTTTAGGGAGAAAAAAAATGAAATATGCAAATATAGGAAGAGTTACCATATATACTCGAGTATAAGCCGACCCAACTATAAGCCGCGGCACCTAATTTTACCACAAAAAACTAGGAAAACATATTGACTTGAGTATAAGCCGAGGGTGGGAAATGCAGCAGCTAATGGTAAATTTCAAAATAAAAATAGATACCAATACAATTACATTAAATTGAGGCATCAGTGGTTAAATGTTTAAGATATTTACATTGTGGGGC